TGAAGTCATTTCTAGGTGAATGCATGACATTTTACGTGACAATTCAGTTATTTGTTATTTCATCATTAAATGATCATTTTACTATTTCATCAGATTTTTCGAAGTCATTTCTAGGTGAATGCATGACATTTTACGTGACAATTCAGTTATTTGTTATTTCATCATTAAATGAAATATTGCTTTTTGAAATATTTTAAAATAACATTAAAATGCTTTTTCAGTTATTTATAGGTAGGTAAATTTAAATATTCAGAGAAAAAAAACTGTTATACATCCTACTTTATGCTTTAAATATTCTGTAAAATAAAAATGAAGAATGGAAAAAGAAAAGAATTATGAATATTTTCATTTCATTCCCGGTTGTTGTGAGGAAAATGATAACAATAATGATAAAATGTTCCGTATGGCAAGTGAAACAAAAAAAATTTGAAATGAACTTATTGATGAATCAATTTGATAATGGAATACAAATGTAACTGTTAAAATAAAAAAAAAAAAATTTTCATTCTTATGCAATATATTGATAATGCAGTAATTGATGATAATCGAAAATAAAACTTAAAGTAAAAAAAAAACTTTAAAAAAGATCGAAATGCATTAATTTAATATATAATATGAAAATAATTTGAAATGTGTAGAATTGAAATGTACAAAAAATATTTGTAATAATTTCATAGTTCCATTTTTGTTGTTGATATGATAGGATGTTATTATTGCTCAAAGGTTTGAATTGTAAGCAGTAAAATATTCAGCATAATTAAGTGTTTGATAAAATTTCAATTTGTAATATCAGAGAGATTGGAAATAAATTTTAAATTTCTGTCAAATAAAATATTTCTAAATGAGAAGAAAAATTCATTGAAATTATCAGAAATGATAACAATTAAAGTGTTTGTCACTTAACTAAAACATTAGTTATTGAATTTTGGCAAATTGAAAAAACTAACTTTAATTTGAATTAAGCATGCTAATATTATGAAATAAATTAATGAAATTATAGCAAAATACTTGAAAATACTTTCCAGTGATAGATATTTAAATTATTTCATTTACTATTAATATATGAAGAATTATCGAAATATATATAAAAAAAAAAAAGACTTTATGGTAATATCATCAATCCATAATTTTTTAATTTAATGAAAAAAAAAGTTATTCGAAAATTTGGCATGGGTTAATGCTAATTTATGTTCAACAATTGTTTGCAACATTATGATGGAAAGGGTAGAGGTCAATTTCAACTTACCAGAAAAGTTATATTGCAAATATGAAATGGAAATTCGGAAAATATTTCTATAGAATATGATTCGATTAAGCAGTAATGATTAGGAATTGTTTTATTTTTATTTAATAATTATAAAATATATTTGCTTTATTCATTAGAAACTTAGCTAAATAAAATAAACCCATATGGTGATTTGATAAATTTTGCAATTCAAAAAATAATTTTTCATTTCATTTTAAATTTTTATTCGATTTCAATCGGATTTGAAAATAAACGAATTTCTATAAAATTTGATATGCAGTATTTCATTTTTCTATTACAATCATAATACAACAATTTTTATTTGCATGTGTAAATAATTTATCGAAAATAATCATCAAGTACTGAAGGAATTAAAAATTGACAATTATTTCAAGAGGAGGAACGAATTGTTTATTATTAATTGTCAGGTTAATTAATTAGAATCAATGAAAAAAAAATTTCTGGAACATTGCAAACTATCAAAGCATATTTTATTTTGTTTTTTTTGTTAAATATTGAAATAGACATTATTTAATACTATTTAGTACTCATTTGTCATTTGTTGATTAATTATATTGCATACTAATTAGTGTAAATCATTTTATCATGTATTATTTTGCTAATTAAAAAATGTCTTCATTTGGAATATCAAAAGAAAAAAGGAAGATGCTAATTATTATCATGAAAGAATCCATCTTATCTGGAAAATTGAAATGTTCATTGGTAAGTTAAACAAATGAGCAAATTGTTTATCAGTTGGAAAAAAAAAACGGCGAAAACTTTTTCTGTTTTATTTGGTAAACATTCACTGGAAAAGTTTTTCTTTTTTTTTTTTTTTAGAAAACTAAGTAAACATGGCATTTCTAATTTTCAGATGATATTTTAGAATTATTGCTTATCAAATGAGAAGTTATCATCATTGATATATTGAAATTTCAAAAATATTATTGATTCCATTAATGAATATCTTTATTTTTTTTTTTTTGTCATTGATAATGATAAGAATTTTTTTTTTTGCCATAATATTTATGCAAAATTTGTGTAATAATTTCCATTCATAACAATTATTTATATAAAACATTCCATTCCATTTCAATAGTTTTGTTTATTTATTTATTTTTCATTTAAATATTTCCACAGAAAAAAAAATGTACAAATATAATAGTTATTATTCATTACAGTATAACTATAAGACTAATTTTGCAATAATCATTGATACTAACTTTGAAATAATCATTGATCTTTTAAAGGTATGAAAAATAAACGGAAGTAATTTGCATATATTAATTTCATAAACCGTAAAATATTCGATAAATTGATAATGAATATTGTATTGAAAAGTTGGAAAAAAATTAAACTTGCGTATTGTATAAAAAATGAGAAAAAAATGAAAATTTTAGCAAAAAGTAAAATAAAAATCTTTGCAGAAAAAAAAATTACGGAATTATATTCTTATCTGCAAAAAAAAAAAAGCGAAACCTTAAGATAATTTATGAAATAATATGAATTATAACTATTTATCAGTGATATTAAATTCCCTATTATCACTTGATCTTTCCTCTCAAAAATGAATTAAGTAAACATATTTGCTAATAGTAGTAACTCACTGATAATATTTAAATGATAATACAAATAATGAAAAATTAGTATTAGTTTGTATTTGCTGTTACGATGTTGTATCCCTTTGCTATTTTTCATATTACCATAATTTTATCCATTACTGCTAACCCAATTATTGTTAAACCGGAAATACGGTATGTCATATTTTTTTTTTGGCTTTTTCCTATTGCAAATAAAATGGATTTGATTTTTTTTTTTTTTTAATACTTTATGACAGTTAGAAAAATAATGAAAATGTGAAATTGTTGAAAAATTCATTCGATTTGATATCATTTAAAAAAGTAATGATAGCCGTTTCTAGCCTTCTTTATAGATTTAAAATTAATTATTAATTGGTTGGTGATAAGATAATGCATAATATCATTTCAAATTAATTAACACCTCAAACATTCATTTACCTTTTTCATTTACCCTTTTTTTTTCAAACTTTTTTTTTTTTAGTGCTAATGTTATAACAGATCAAAAATTTGACATTGATCAAATTAAGAAGCACGAAACTTACACACTATACAAGCAGTATTTCAGTAAGTTTATGAATTTGCTGAACGAAAATTGAAAC